GGTTTTCTTCTTCGTTTCGTGGCGTGCTTTTGAAACGTGTGGGGTCTTAGGAGAGCTGTCGGAGGCTGGCAGTATCTTTTAACCAGCGAGCGTCTTTAATTTATCCTATTAATTTCGGTTAGCAGTATTGATAGGTAACATTTTCTAGTAATTTATACTGCTGTATAAATCCCATATTACTTCCTGCAGCTAGTTTTGCCTTTTTTATAGGCAGTTTAGTAATTATCGAAATGGTACTGTTGTACTAAAGTATCTTATTTAGTAGCATAGCTTAAGACACCAGTGAGGAAACTTTTGCATTGATGAGAACTTTTCATTAAGTTATAGCGATATCCTTATGTTTTTTTCCTTTAAAGATAATTTGTGTTTTTCAGTAGTACCTTTCTGTTTTTATTCAGGTCCTTGTTTGCTTATACAAGTAAGTTAGGAGCAGCTTCTGCCCCAGATATCGTAGTGCTTTGATCTTGCAAAAAATACTCTGTGCATATATCAAGGTTTATGACTATGGTACCCATAATATATGTGTTATACAATACATACCTTGAAGCATGTTATACAATAAGAGAATAGGAAGAAGGAATAGTTAATGTTTAATGGTGGTGTTTAAACACTGATAGGTAAAATATTTAAAGAGCTTTAAATTCTAAGCAACTCTCTTTTCACTTTCTGAGCTATAATTAAAGAAGAGTTGTATGCCAGACGTTTTTGTTGGCCTAGGATGTACTGTTTCCACCTAATAGATAGGAAAATCAAAGAACATGACACAAAATTGAACAAAAAATATTCCATGGGTTTTTTTTCACGTATGGTTTAAACGCGTTCTTATCTCCCCAAATCGGACGTCTTTGAGTTTGTTAGGTATGGGTAAGAATATTAGTTTTTAGCAGGACATCTTGCATGTTATGTTGGCTAGAATAGGGTTCTTTGCCTTGGAAAAAGGTTATTAGTCTTTTCCTTATAGATTTCTGATCTTATTTCAGGTCACTTAATTTTACGGATACAAGTGTACACAAACCAATGGTTGATCATGTTAATCTCACTGCCATGAGATGATGCTACAATGTTATGGGGTCCAAAGAAATGTTTGCAAATATGCTCTAGAGTGCTGGTGTTCGATAGTAAAACCAATTTGGGCGACGTCTGTCATACAATGCATTATTACATTTTTAGTTTTTTTAACTCATTCAGCCAGCCTTTTGTTGTTCTTCCTATGTTGAACAGGAACGTAAAGGGACAGCAAAAGTAGATTTCTTGAAGAAAATTGAAAAAGAGATTCAGCAAAAGTGGGATGATGAGCGAGTCTTTGAGATTAATGCTTCGGATGGGCTGAACCAGAAGAGGTATCGTTGCTTTTTTACAGGTTTTATCTTCAACTATTTAAAATCTCTTTTGAAGGGAATTTTTTTTTTCCATCAAAACCCAGGAAAAAAGTGTCCTCTTTCGAATGAATAGTGTTCTCAGGTGATCTGAAGCTACTTACATGGGCATTATGTTGGTATTTCCATACCTGACAGCATAAAACGTTGGCATTTCCATACCTGGTAGTGGTGTGCATGTGTTGGCCAAGTTCCAGTTGGGTGAAAAAAAAAGCTTTCCTCTTATTCCTTAGGAACATTAATATTTTCTGAGACTTTAAAAATAAATTCTCTTTTGTGACTTCTACTTTCTGGCATGGAGAGGCTATCTCATGGTGAAATCTGAGCCCTTACACTAGTAAGTGCTTAAGAAACTTGTCCCTCAGCTAGAACAGTACAGTTTATCTGAGGTACAGTAAACGAATGAAGGTGTGTGCTTGCTTCACTGAGAAAAGAAAATTGTTTAACAAACCTCTTGAGTCATGATGTAGGCTAACCTGTTTTACTTTGCACAGAAGTGGACCAAGACCTGATGTGTGATATTTACAGCTCCTCGGATGAGGGCTGTAATTTCTTTTAAGTACATGAAATATATTACAAAAGCTTGACTGTCCTGCTAGTCGAAGAGTTTCAGTTTGGAGTTTTTGTCCTGATCTGTAGTGCCAATGAAGTTGGTCCTAGGGCTGAGTAATATTTATTGACCCAAAAGGATCAGACAATTTGAATGCTAAATTAGGAGGTGTAACAAAAACATTCATTATGTCAGTATGTTTTTTGCTCAAGTTGTAGAAATCTTTTTACTTAAAGGAACTGCAGTCTAACTTAAGTGTTCGTTATGTTACAGGTTGAAATTCAGGACTGTAATTAATGCTTAAAATTTCTGACTAAAAATAATAGGTCAGCTTTGCTTACACAATTTTACAATAATAAGCAATGTAATGGGAAATTTCAGTGTTCAATATGTTAATGTGACCCCATTATAAATAGAGAAAAAGCTACTTTGCTAAACTAATCTTCTTATACTTCTAGTTAAAATACTGTGTATTTACTTTGATCTTTTTCTTAAACTTTTACTTCTCTTTAAAAAATAGCTGAAACTAGTAAAAGCTGCCCTACAAGAGAGATGATGCTACCGTGAACACTTCTGCAGTCGGTCCTTAATATTCGTGGTAGCATTTAATCCCATACCAGGAGAAGGCTTTACTTACAGTACTTCTTGTTACTTTGGGCTTGAGCTCTTAAAGCTCTGTTATTTTGTAGACTTTTTCCGAAAGGCATGCTTTAGGAATTCTTTGATATAATCCCTGTTTGAACTAGAGCAAATTCCTTAGAAAAAGTTCAAATCCTTATTTAAAGGGAATAGAATTCCACCACAGAGCTCCATTTTTTTTTTTTAATGGCTAATAATGTTTCTGTTTTTTTACCTGAATATGTAATTTCAGCTCCTAATTATTGCACTTTGTTGTATTTCTGCTTCCTTGCTTGAAATTTCTTCTGCTGTCACAATTCCATCCTGTTTCTAGAGATGCTTGAGGCCTGTGTCTCAAACACTCTTATTTTCTATTGTTTCCATGTAATAATGCTATCAGTAGGATTCCTTTTGTTAATTTATTTTGTTAAATGAAAGTAAAACGTTCCTTTGTTGACATCATCTGATCTTTGAGTGTGAATCTATACTGAATTTTATCTGTGTCTTTTTCCATTCCCTAGTGGTATTATTTGCTACTTCTAATTCGTTGGAACTGCTGTGAATTTTACCTTTTCTCATTTGTTATTTAATGATTTTTTTTTTTGGTGATGCCTTCTACTTCTTTTAATCTCTGCTGTTTTTAGTCAGTGTAACACTCTGTTCTGACCACAGCTTTTTGGCCTTCTAGTAAAATATTCTTAAGCAGCGATCTGTTTATTGCAGAGGTGGCTTCTTCATTTTTTGTTTAAATTTTCTCCCAGCTGGTTGGCTTCATAATTGTTTTCAGCTTTGTGAAACTGATCCTTCTAAAATACCAGGTACATCTAGCACTGGCTTGGACTCTGTTCTCTTTTCGTATGACGGTATAGTCTGCTCTTTTATCTGAGTGACTACCAAATTTTAATTTCATATTCAATCTCCTTAGTTGTCGAGCTTAAATTCTGTTGTGGTAGGTGCAGTACCTGAGTTAACTGAGAGGAAAACTCTCAGTTACCTTGGTCACAGCTCAGTCGGGGCTATAAATGTTCTAACAAACGGAATGAGTTGCAGTCGTGATTATCTGAACACGAACAGAGCACTGCTAGGAGGAAGCGTGTTTCATTGCTAAAATAAATGTACTGGAGGATTAAGAAAGACTGTGTTTAACTCTTGGTTTTATTTCTACCTCAGAGTAACCTTGAGAAATCTGCTTAGGATAGAAGCTCTGGAAATGCTTAGCATGCTTGGGAACCGGATTCCTTTCACAAATCAGTAGGATTGATGCTCCTTACAGTGAAGGCAAGGTTTTCCTTATGAAACAGCATTAGTCATTTAGGGAGGTCTCTGAGCGAAAAAGCAGTGACCCTGACAATGTGAGGTTGGCTAATCTGTTACATGGAAAAGTCAAGGTAACACAAGATAACGAAAATGTGGTGTAACAGGTGGCAACGTCTTAAACTGTAATATTTTGTAAGCAACCAGATAATTGTGCCTTTATTATACATGTTTGAACTTCAGTGGTAGTGTCTGAAGAGCAGTGACAAGGCATGGAATAGAGGTAGAGTGCAAAGGTGGAGGTAGAACTTTCAGATGTCTTAAAGATCTTGGAATTATCTTAGTTCAGTATGCGTTCAAACTGCTATGCAACAATATATCCCTATGTAATGAGCAATTATTTTCAGTATGTCACTAGAACAGCTGAATTCAGGCAGTGGGAGATTAAATAAGTTATTTCTGCAAAGGCCTAATTAAGTAAATTTACAGAATCGGGACTAGAACTTATCTTCTTTGGAAGATATTGCATGTATTTCAAAGTTTCTTTTATGATGCCAGTCCTTTGTTTTTTTTCTACTTTTTTTCTTTAAATCAATAAAACCTCTTAGTATGTTAGCTGCTTAGAACCAAAAGCTCATGTTATTTGCAGGGAAAATGTTATTTTAATGACACTGTGAGCTGATAATAGCTGAACATATCTGTTAACTATTTAATTAAACATATTCTAATTACATTAGATGTTTTAATCCTCCTTTAAATTTCTTCTCAGCAAAGGAAAGTACTTTGTCACCTTTCCATATCCCTACATGAATGGCCGCCTTCACCTGGGACACACGTTTTCTTTATCCAAATGTGAGGTAAAATTTTCCCTTTGCTAATGCCTTTATAACTGCTGTTCTAGATCAAATGCTAATTTTGTAGTTAAGTTTTGAGCTGACGGAATGCCTTGTTAATTACTTTATAGACTCAGTGGCGTTTATTCCAGTTTTCTTTTTCTCTATTTTCTGTAGAAATATTGGAGAGTGGAAAGAAATGCCGCCCATCATGTTCTGGGAGATTAGACTAGAGGTGTTTCCCACTTTGCTTTCTTTCAAATTGGCCAAGACTTTAGCAGCTGCTGCCTCTTACTGTTTAGCTGTTAAATGGCAAAAACTTCACAGGGAACTCTACAGTCTCTTTTGTTTGTGAACACTGTGTTCCATTACCTGTGTGTTAACAGGTCTTATATACTAATGGCCAAGACTGCAGAAAGTTCTCTTTGCACGCGTTTTTCTCTAGTCAGAAACAGCCCTCTGAAAATCAGAAAAGCTTGCTCTTATGCTGTGAGGCAGTGGCAGAGCAGGTAATAAAATATAGGTCCACTTTATTCCTTTAACTAGCTTCTTAGATGCTGTTCATTGCATTTTTCTGTTTTTAGTAACTTCATCTGAAAAATGAATTTTTTTATATATGTATGTTTTTGAGAAGGTTGAGGACTTAACCTCTTGCCATTCTTGTTTCATGTTTGTCTGTTTTTCCACTTTACAAAGTTTGCAGTTGGGTATCAGAGGCTGAAAGGAAAGAACTGTTTGTTCCCATTTGGTCTACACTGCACCGGGATGCCTATAAAGGTAAGACGGTTTGAGTTACTGAGGTTTTTTATAATGTTTTCTATATTTAGGGCTACATCAAGCATTGCTTACTCTCTATCCAGAACATCATGTTAGTTTATTCAAAAATTCATCAAGATCATATGATTTAGAATCTGAATTTGTAGTAAAGATGTGAGTTGTTGGACTGTACCGTATGACCGTTTAGAAAATAAAATGCTTTAAAATTAAGTTCACAGAGAGTTTTCTTTCCTTTGCAAGACAATTCTCACTACAACCCTCTTCCTTCCATGGCAAGCACTGATGTTATAGGATTTCCTAAAATTTAATGCAACCTCCAGAAAAATTTTAGAATGCTGTAGAGGAATGCAAAGCATTAGCAATACCTACATAATTAATATAAAAATTCATATTTGATCATTCTAAAGCAAACCAGTCCTTGGCAATTGCTTCAGTCATATTTACTGAGGAGTGCTGATAGACTATCAAAAACTTTTTATGTAGGCTTGTGCAGATAAGCTAAAAAGAGAAATGGAATTATATGGCTGCCCACCTGAATTTCCTGATGAGGAGGAAGAGGAGGAGGAAAATTCTACCAAAAAAGAGGAAGAGATTATCATCAAAGACAAAGCAAAGGGCAAAAAGGTAAACTTTTTAAACAAAGTCTTTCTGGATTTTTAGCTGTGCTATTGAAGTTTAAAAGTATGGATTATGGGTCTGTTTCCCTCTCACACACTTCCCAGAGAGAAACCAGTGAGACAAAGATTTTGATTTGGTGGGGGGGGGGGGGGGGGGCACT